GTATGTATGTATGTACGTATGTGTATTTATTTACTTATTCATTTATATTTATTTCGTGGAAGAGGCGGGTTTGGGGCTACACAGGGGGGGTGCTACTGTCAGTATCATCCTTCCTTTGAGAAACCGTTTTGCTACGTCTACCGCGTCAATAGACAGCACATCCTCTGCCCCAAGCATTTTCGTAGTGGGTCCCTGGCCATGCCAACAGCAAGGCAGCATGATTCTGACATGATGTCTGGTTTTACTACGAAGCATCCGAGCCGAAGCCAGACCATCTTCCAATCAATAACCATTCACCCCTACATGGTATAGAGCCATTTTTTCAGGGTTTAGGGAACCCTTGTGGGCAAAAAAAAGGGTTCAGGGTCCTAAACCCGACAATATGGTGGAGCTTGTTTCCCGGGTCCTTGCCTGCCTTGGGCGAGTGAGAGAGTCGCAGTCCGACTAGCTCCACGTCCCACGGAATATATACTGTAATATAATATGATGTAATCTGGTAGAATGTACAAGAGTTTAACATTGTATAGCCATATAATACGATATAATATATTGTAAGCTGGTATAATATGTACAAGACTTTAGCATTCTATAGCATTAGATTACGATGATGCCTAAGTCGCCCTCAGGCAGCTTTTGGCTTGATCGCACAGGCCGCAGTTTGCGCCTGCCATGTGTGGGAGGTTTGCTGTTTCTTTCGGTTTAGGGTTTAGGGATGTTTAGGGTTTAGGGCCTTCCAGGGAGTTGAAGGAGAGGGTATCCACAGCCGTAGCTTGCTTGGAGGTATTTGTTGGCCACCATTTTTGGATCGAGGTGTCCCTGTTGTCCCGGCGATAGGAAGATGAGGTCCGGGTCGTTGATGATGCAGGTGAAGGCACGGAAGACATGGCATGTATTCTGGCTTCTCCTGGCCTATACCTTCCTCCAGATCCTTTCTGGAAAGATGCTGCTACATCTGGCGTTAGGCTCCTGTCTAGCACTTTTCCAAAAAGGAACGTAGCTGCGACGAGCGACTTGCACTTGCACAGGAAGAGATGGCAGAAGCGTAATGGCCGAGATCTGCATGGCAGCCCTGTTTTTTAATCAGCTCGTCCAAGACAAGCGCAGCAGTTTCTGTAGCCTTCATCAGCAGCCGCATCAATCCGAGCCGCTGCCAATGCCTCATTCAACTCGCACGTGGCCTGCACCTCATGCCAGATTTCTCGAACTCGATCCATTTTACCCAGTTTTGACAATATCTTCACGGCCAACGGGTACACAGGAGCGTCCCTTCCAGACCTACAGTTCGAAACACGTTCGTACAACTCGACACAAGAAAGATATTGACGACATGGAAACGCTGCATTCATGACTGTAGTCTAATTGGCAATTCCACGAGCTTTGTAGCCGATTGTAGCCTGTGAAGAGGGCCTTGACTTGTAACCATTCACCTCTGCGGGTTGCATCCTCCAGATCTGCAAGCAGGAGTGTCTCCTCAGGGCTTAAACGTGTATTTAAAGGAACTGACCGCCTGCCTTGGTTCGGAACTTGGCTGGGACGCCTGCCTTGGTTCGGAACTTGGCTGCCTTCACAGCTTGGTGGGTGCCTATCAGATGGCCTCCCTGGATCTCTTGCAAGCTGCACACGAGAGGATGAAGTCAATGCGGATCTCTCCCCACGTTGTCTTCGAAGAGGTATATGGGGGATTCCGAAAATAGGGGACCCTAATATAGTACCCTAAATAAAAGGACGCTTATTATAAAGACCCCCAAATAAGGTACCCTAATTTTCGGAAAGTCCCATATCTGGCCAGACTTCCGCAAATTCCGAAGGACAGGAAGAGGCGAAGTGCCTCAGATGTGGCTAGGGAGATGGATGCCTTGCCCAGAGGAGGAGCAGAAGCTGCAACAACGGCCCTTGCAGACTTCCACCAAACAGGATTTAAAGCTCCCCGGCCTTCGCCAGATGATCGAAGTAGCTCTTAGGGTCCGAGGGAATCTTGGATAAAGTGGCACAGGAAAGCAGGCAGGGTGCTTACAGGTACCCAATCCGAGTGGCCGGGACATCGCGCGAGAACGAGGGCCTCCATAGTTTCTCTAGATGGGGACTATAAGGGGCATACTTCCTAGTTGTTCCTGCACCATACGAAACGGGCATCAACGGTAGTTTAGGCCTTCAAACCTTTCTCGCGGCCCTGGACCCCTCTACGCGGCTGCTTTTGTAGCACTCGTAAAGAAGACAGCGATAGCAACCCACCTGGTCATGATCCGTCACCCGGTCGTCCTCATCTCTCACCAGTACGCTTTTGGCCGGCATAGCCCGGCACATGTGAAAAAGAGCAGACCGTGTTATTTGGACCTGTGTTGTCCAGCAAGTTGTCCCCGGAAGCTAGATACATGCGACTCATGAACTCCGTGGAACACGCATGTTCTTCCTCGTCCGTGCCTCCTGTCCCTCACGTTGGTTTCTTTGTCTGTACTTACCTGTCCGGTGCTCGTGATGCTTCGAAGTCCAGCCAGGTGACGCTGGGACTGAGCGTGCTGGCCTTTAAAACTCCATGGGAGAAGACGAAGCGGAGCTGATGGGCTCCTCTTGCGTCGACCCGGCAAAGTTTGAGGTTCCATGGTTTGTTGACGCAATTCGAAGTTCATAGTGTGCTTGACATTGGGCTCTAACTCCAAGGCAGCGTTGACAAAGAGCGTGTGTTGACACACCTCTACCATTTCTCAGTCTCATCCAGGCTAAATCTGGGCTCGTGCCTACATACAGCCGTGGATAGTCCAGGGCATCTATACCTCAAACTTGTGCTTCTTCGCACGCTGCGGCAGATCGATTTACATACCCTGACCATGGCCCTCGAGGCGATTTCACTGAAGTACCCAAGACCCGAACACAAGCACCCGCAGCCCTCCTTGCAGAGACGAAAGCAGCTCGGCAGACGGCAGCCAGACCCCTACTTTCGTTTTAGTTCGCTACCTAAGTAGCTTGGCTTCAGAGCTGAAGGACAGTACATTAGAAGGACATGAAGACGGGAATGGTGCTGGCACCTGAGACACGACCTGACAGACCACATCCCTCCAGGGCTTGTTAGCGATCCTTGTGCGGGACCATGGTGAGCCATCACGAGGCTGATGCTCATCGGCTTGCCCTATTTTTTATATGCCTTGAAGCGGCGTATTGCAGGGGGCAACGAATGCTTGGGCAGCCCTTTGGCTATTCGTAAGACTGTTTCTCGCCACTCCTGAGTTCTATCGGCCTTTCTTCCCAGAGAACCCAATACCCTTAATTAAGGAATCTACCTTAAATCATAGTATTAAGGCCCCTATAATTTAAGGTATATTCCTAAATTAAGGGGTATTGGGTTCCTTGGGTTTGTTGCATGTCCACCGCGCCCGATAGGAGGTTTGTCAGAACGGTGTGGCATGCGGAGTGTGGAGGAAGTCTTTCGTTGCAAGGCGCCGCACGCCCCGCAAGCATTCTTTCCCCTCGCTATAGGCAGAATCCGGAGTTCATCTGGATTTATGAGTTTGAAGCTGTGAACACATTGGACTTAAGGCGCTCAAGTCTCGGCCATTTGGGCTCCCCCAACACATCTCCTAGGTCCGCCAGAGAGTCCAACTGTGTGACCTGCTCCCTGGCACACAGAAGCGCGTGCCGAAGGGACCTCGCCGCCGGGCCTACAGTGGCCACAGCAGCTGGAAAGGCATGTAATGGCTCCACACTACTCTCAGGGTGTCGATAAGGGACATGAAATGAAAGACTCCAGGACGTATGAGAGAGCAGGAGAGACTTTTGGGGGATCGCACTTCCAAGCCCGCAAGGAGAGAAGAAAGACAGGCCGCTCGAATGCCTTCAAGTCCTGTCGACCAAACGAAGAACGGAGGGAGAGGGAGCACAGGAGTTTGGGTTTGGATCATCGAGTAAGGGCTGCTCAATCCACGACGGGCAACTTATGGAGGCATTGAGCCACAACTCATCCTGCATGGTAGCGCTCAACTTTCGTGCTGCAGTGAGCAGCCAATGGGCTCATCAATCGGAATATATGGGACTAGCCAGAATCATGGACAAGTAAGCAACGCAAGACTGCGAAATAGTCGTCTCTCCCCTCACTTTGAAGGGCTTGATTCCGCCGTGCGCTTCGACTTTATCAGGATATTCTTGCTCAGTTGCTTGGAGCTACTACATCAATTTCAATGTTCCAGCTTCAGCGGCGCATCCAAGCGCCGAAGTTCTGCAGCTCGATCCCTGCTGCCTGTGCATGGCTTTAGATGAGTATGGTGCTGGCACTAGTAGACATACCGAGATGGGTGGCTCTTGCACTGGCATTAACTCCTTGAGGAGAAGTCTGGTCATCGACCATGCAACGCTGGAGAAAGTCTCTGTTAAATACGGCCCACACCCCCACCAGTATGGCTCGCAGCATTACGGCATCTTCGTTGCAGGGCCCACTGCCGCCGTTGCCTGAACGATTGCGGATGTCGGTATTGCCAAGCCCAAGTTCATTTGCGCATGCACATTAAGGTTACCACCTGCGCCGTTGCATTTTGATCCTGTAGATGTGAGACCCTGTATGTCAGACGTGTTGTTCATGGCTGCGTCGTGAGCGCACGTAAGAAGACGTGCGCGAATCAGCAGGAACAACAATTTAAACCATCCTGTCAAACGACGTGTTTGCGTGTGACATCTTCGTAGCTTGCAACGTGCAGGTGGTTCCCCGTCCTGAGGCACCTGTACAACTTCCGGGTGTTCCGACAACGGACATGCATGTAAAGTCTTGAAGTGTTTGTAAGCTGTTTTGTTTGCGGCCGGATATTTTGCTTGCCCGGCAACAAGGCTCAAGGCATCGTCTATCGGCCCCATACTGAGGACTGTACGATGGGATGATTAGATGAAGTTCGCCGCTAGCTAGCCATAGCCTTGCTGACAGGCTCTTGAGGTTGCCAGTTGCAAAGGCTCCTGCTCCAGATGTGCAGTAGGTTGCAGAGCTACTTGGACTCTCGCCGGAGGCCATCAGACTCAGAGGAAAGGACGATTAAATGTGCCTGCCCAGTGACGGTTTCAGAAACGTTGCTGTCACCAGGTGCTTCAAGAGAAAAATCGAGGATGCTCTTCGAACTTCCGCTGTTCGTTTGGACAACCTAGCCCGTCACAAGAAATAACGTGTTGGGCGGCAGTGGGTTCGAGGGTTGCGGTTGTGAGAGTCTGGGGTCGCAGAACGGACACTGACACGCTGGAGGATTTGGCAGAAAAAATGTCTAAGTCTACCCAACAGTGTACCCATCTCAGCTGAAGTCATCATGTGCTTGCAGATGCAGAGGGAGGGTAAAGGGAGCGGGGGCAAATCGCAGATTGCGTTCACAGAAACGTGAGATTAGATGTCGAAGTTCCTGATGTATGCCTGCACTTGAGAGAGACGCGTGCTGGTGTGGGAAGGGGCGTTTGAAAGGTGCATACGTCGATATAGCCCCTCAGCTCGTCCATAAAGGGTGATGCAGGGGAGGCAGCTAGTTGCGACTTAGTTCCGGATTCACATCTGAGCCTATGTAAGGATAGCTGCAAGCCCCATGGGATCGCCGCTTCGATATCCCGGCTCCTGCTGGTAGCAGAATCCTCTTGATGCCCTGGCCGCGGAGCAATGCTCCCTATAACTGACTCTAACAGTAACACGAAAATGATAATCAACACTTCACATTTAAGACATAAGAAGAAGGCGATTCGAGCCTTCAGGAATACCGGCCCTCTCAGGAAAGAACTGGAAGCTGCCATATCTGCCATCTCTTAGCGATTGCTAGAGAATTCGGCGACGGCGCAGATGGCGTGGCTTTGGGGGGTATGGAGCTGAGTTGAGCTCACTCTCTCAATCTTTCTCCGTGCGTTCGCCTGTGGAGCAAACTAGAAACTAGCAGACCCATGGATGTACAGTACATCTTCAATTTGAGCGGCTCTAATGCTGCAGGCGTAGTCCAACATATTCGAACATGTGTTGGGCAGTTCGCAAGTTTGCATTGGATCTACTGCTGATCGTGCAACGCCCTCTCGGCTGAACCATTTCGACAGCTTCTACAAGTGTTCTGGGCGCCGGCACAGACTTACGGAATTCAACCGAAGATTGATCAGCGTGCCATCTCTGCACCGACGACAGCACACAACCCGCGATGGCCAGGCCTGCGTACAGAAGGAGTTCTGACATACATGAATACACACACACATATACACACACACATAATCTGGGTTTCATTGCGTGTGCATAAACAGTCTGTTCTTCATACAAAAGTACGTATGCCTGTACAGAACACATACCACACCTGCATAGACAGTGGTAATACTGTTCCAAGTGCTGCGAAGGGTTGAGCGATGTTGTGTACGTTTTGTGTCGCTGTTGGCAGAAATGCACGACTAGCCTTGAGAATACGGCAAATACCATCAAGTACCAGTGGGCACAGGGACGATCATCATGACAAAAGCTACAGCACAGTGAGTTCCACTAGGTGTAGCTGCAGCCCTCATTCATTGACTGTCATCAACAAGTAACATCGCTTGCGTCAAGGCGCAGACAATACCAGCAGTATAGCAGATTTGCCCTGATTCAATGCTCATGATGCGAAAGCTGGCAGTCCCATGCAAACGTGAGGCACATGGCTAGCCACGTGTAGCACGGGCAGTGCTGAGATAAACAGTAGTTTATACAATGCCAGTCAGTGACGAAGATGACTCCACCACACACACACACACACACGCACACATTTTCTGGAAACGTGTACTCCATTTTGTGCAGCGACATGCACTTCGTCTTGGCCTCTACGCACATCTCTTCCAATAGGGGCACTGCTACATAGGCGGTTGATTATGCGGGTTCCCTTCATGCTCGTAAAGACGCTGCGTGATGTATGAATATCCTGTACAGGTACATCTCACTGCGCATGTAAGGATGGACCAATGGACATACATGCACACTTGTTTGAATGTATAAAAAACCCGCATAGACACAAATGCAGATGCACGGGCTTCTGAAGCAAAGATTGCGCAGTTTTAGTCACAGCAGGTGAGCCCACAGCACAGCGAAGAATAGCTTACACGGACACGGAAGCATCCTGGGTCAAGTTGTCACTAAGGCGACAGAGTCTGAGACTTTGGCCATCGAGGGCCGAGAGGCGGGAACGCAGTGTGGGTTTGATGAACTGCCTTTAATGCAGGTGGAGGTTTCCGAAAATAGGGGACCCTAAATATAGCACCCTAAATAGTAGGGTCCTTATAAAAAGGACCCCAAAATAAGGTACCCCAATTTTCGGAAACTCCCAGGTCTAGAGTGGATCATCCAGTGGATCAGTTGCTTCCGCGCAGGTGCTGCAGGAGAGTCTGCTTGCAGATGGTGGCTTCGCTTACGTGTACGCCCCCGCTTTACACTAATCGCTCATGTTTACAGTATGCGAAAACAAGATCCTTGCCGGAGTCCTCTCGTAAAAGCTGGTGTCAGAGCACATGTTGATTCAGATCTCACTGATGCGACTGCGAGTTCCTATCGCTCTCCCTCACTTTCTGAGCATCCGTCGTGCCAACTCCCATGTGTACAGATTGTCCAGAT